ACTTTTCCCTTTCACATAACATTCTATTGATGTGCTATTGACGAACAGCACTTTGGGAACATCCAACTTCTTTTGCAATTACCTTTTGGGGCTTTCCCTCCTTATGGAGGGTGTCAATGAAGGTTTTCTGCACAATTGTCAGGTCAGCAGTCTTTCCCATGCTTGTGATTCCAACTGAACCAGCCTGAGAGACCATTTAAAGGATCAGGAACCCTTTGCAGGTGTTATGGATTCATTAGCTGATTAGAGTGGGACACTTTGAGCCTAGAATATTGAACCTTTTCACACTATTCTAATTTTCTGAGATTGTGAATTTGGGGTTTTCATAAGCTGTACACCATAATCATCACAATTATACCAAAGTAAGGCTTGACATATCTCGCTCTGCATATAATGTGCCTAGAATATTGAACCTTTTCACACTATTCTAATTTTCTGAGATTGTGAATTTGGGGTTTTCATAAGCTGTACACCATAATCATCACAATTATACCAAAGTAAGGCTTGACATATCTCGCTCTGCATATAATGTGCCTAGAATATTGAACCTTTTCACACTATTCTAATTTTCTGAGATTGTGAATTTGGGGTTTTCATAAGCTGTACACCATAATCATCACAATTATACCAAAGTAAGGCTTGACATATCTCGCTCTGCATATAATGTGTCTATCTCATATATTGGTTTCACCTTTTGAGCCTCATGATTAGAATATCATGAACATTTGCACGATATTCTAATTTTTTGAGTTTCACCTATATGAGTACAAGTCATTTTTATTGCAATATACCTTCAAAGATAATTTTAATGAGAGTTTTAATTTACCTTAAATATTTTCAAGTGCCCTTAATTTAGAACAGAATACAGGTAGATCCCAGTTTAAGAACGAGTTCCTGTCCCAAGGTCTGTCTTTAAGTTGAATTTCTATGTAGTTTCTATGGAATAGTATTATTGTATAATACTGTATATTGTGTAATGAACTCGAACCATTGTGCATTTTACTCAAATCATTGTGTATTTAACCTGAATTTTGTTACAGTAGGCTCCGTTCTTAACTATGGGTCATCTGTAACCCAAGCATTCTTAACCCCAGGGACTTGTATGATAAATAATACTGGCAGCATTAATAACACGTGACTCCTGAGGCAACCTTGCAAGAAACTCTCTAAGGTGCAGATTCCATACCCTGTCCTAACTACATTGCCTCATGACCAATCAGCATCCCCTAATAACCAACAGGATCAGTCTGTACTGTTTCCTCCCAGTTTGCTTAAAATGCCAATCCTCATGGGACAATTGTGCCTTCAGTTCCCTCAGGTTGTCTGTCAGAAATCTGGGGACAAGCCTTTTCTATAGTTAACCCAGTTCTTTGCTGAACTGAGAGGCCTAGTTTTTGTCCTTAAAACAGGCTTTATTTTTTATTGTAAGCTACTGACTCAGCAGGGTAATAATTAAGCCCTACAAAATTAAATCCTAATATGTTGGTGAAAATATCTAGTCCCATAGATTTTTATATTTTTTTTGTGGAGGGGCTAGTTCCTGGAGATTTTCCATAATCTCAGCAAACTTTTGATAGTAGTAGACTATAATACTGAATAGTAACAAACTTCCTTGTTAATATACAGGCTTTGTTTTAGAACTTTTCTATATATTTGGGCATACTGAAAGATATCTATGGGTGGTTCATTTTTTTTCTTTACAACACAAGGCTTTACATTCATGTTCTACTTAAATTATCAAGCCTGAGTAACATATAAAACAGTTATTAAAAAGCTTAAGTTAGTCAAACAGCAGAATTGATAAGTTCCGGGCTTTGTAGCTAGAATAAGTTACTGTGGCCATGAGAAGCTAGTCCCCCAAGATTGAAAAGCTTTTTGCTCTAAGTTACAGTACTTTGAACAGGGCAATTAAGGAGGGAATAAGACAAAATTCCCTGAACATCAACAGGTGAACAGCAGCTTGGGTTACAGCTAGTAAGTTTTCCCCATCATGGTAAGCTAATATTTCTATTTAACTGAAAGCAGTATTTCTGCATCCTATACATACAAAATAACGTACACGTTATTTTTGCATTTTTCAGGGTGATGCATTTCCTCTTGTTTAATGCAGAGACCGCAGTTTAGTTACAATGCGATCCTTTCTGTGCTGTTCAAAAATGCGTCTTTATTTCACGTAAACTATAATTTGCCCGCTGTTCGAGTTAGCGTGTCCTGAACTACATTTCCCACTATTCCCCACCCAGAGCGCGAAACGGGTAGCCTTTCAAGTTTTCCCGCGGATTTTCGTTTTCCGCTGAATGGCCCCTAACGGAACGGAGGGACAGAAAAATGGGTTGCAAGGGAGCTCCGTAGAAATTCCTGCTCTCTTCGGGGATTCCTTCGAGCTCTACGTTGCTCCCCGGCAAGATAGGCAAGGGGGAAAAAACTGTAACCTGGCTTATTTTCTTTTCCTCCCTCCTTCTGGCTAAAGATGGCGCCGGCAACCGCCTGTATGACATACAGGTCTAGTCACATGGTAATTCGCGGGCCCTTCACCTCCGCGATCTCTATGGTTCAGCCGGCTGGGCGCGCGAGGCGGCGACTTTTCTCATCCTTTCTGAGAAAGCCGCGCGGGGGGAAGGGGAGCCCGAAAAGGGCGGGAGCGCCAAAGACATATGCCGTCGAAAAGCTGTTCGGGAGGGACAGCCGCCGTTCTCAAAGAAAGAACTGAGGGTCTCTGGTGTCCCTCCTCCCCACCCCCCGATTCCTGAATCCGGTTCTCTGCGCCGGGGCAGGAGGAAAGCGCCATCGTGCGCCTGCAGTCGCGGATCGCTTGGAATGGCGCCTCGCTGGGCGGCTCTCTACGAACTCCTGCGCGAGCCAAGCGGTCTTTTTCCTCCTGAAAGGAGGCGATGCCTGACCAAAGAGGGTAGCCTCGTTGCTCGGACAAAGGCGAGTTGACCGCTGAGGAAAGAAAAAGCGGGCGCGGCTCCTTGGATTTCTTCAGGGAGTTTCCGCGGAGCTGCGGGCGACTGATAATTATGCTCCCCGCGACGGTCGCAGCTGGGGCCTGTAATATGCCTAATGAACGAGATGTTCAGGTCAGGCGAGGAAAATGGCAACGCTGGTGGGGAGAGCAGCGGTCGGGGCGGGGTTTCCTCCTCTGCTCTTCGCAGCCGGGCGAGGACGAGATTCGGGCTGATGTCTGCGGCAGATAAAGAGGCGAAACCCCTTTTCTTCAGCTCTCTCTTTGGAGATTTCGCTTCGTTGAAAGTTGAGCATGCTTTCCGTCTCTCTTTTTCCCCCTTCCTCACCCCCGCCTTCCCTTCCCCATTCAAGATGGGTCGGGTGCACCATGACCCTGGCTGAGGTAGTAGTTTGTGCTGTTCGTCGGGTTGTGACATTGCCCGCTGTGGAGATAACTGCGCAAGCTACTGCCTTGCTAGTGCTGGTGATGATCAGCTGCAGATGAAGACAATAACAACAGGAATCCCCTTTGTTTTCCCAGGGATTACATACCAAAAAGATGGAAACAGAATGTAGCTTTTGCTTGATTCCTGAGTGCTCTTATGAATGTGTGGATTTGTTGGAACTTCAAATGAAAATACAAATGCTTTAGAATTTTCTTTCAATGAATATTCTAGGAGAGCCATGTTAACCTATAGTAGCCAACAAATCAAGAGGAGTCTGGTAGCACCTTTTCATATATAAGCTTTCATAGTTCACAAAGACTTTTACCTTTTCATAAAATTTGTTAATCTGAATAGGAGCTACTAGTCTTCTGATTTTTGGCTTTCATGGCTTTTGAGATACATAGAATTTACATATGACATGCTGAGAAATATTGCTATTGGTATGGCTAAATAAATTTAATTTTATGTAGAAATCTAAAACAACTTGAATATTTTTGTGCTTGCTGAATATATACAAGATAGCCTCATCATTTATGTCTCACATTTTAAATTAGGTATTTCCAGCTATATTTTAATATTTAACTATACCATAAAGCAAATGAATTCAAATCATATTATTGCAATTATAACTCTGGAAGATAGTTGAGTGATAATTACCATTTGAATTCCAAGTATTGAAAGTAGTTTAATAGAAGACATTTGAAGACATTAAATGATTCTGATACATATTAACTATGTGTGCTATATTAACGGTGTACTTCTATAGACTGTACTACTGTTATTTTATGTTTTATTAGTATATTTTTATACCAGCCGCCTTCCTAATAAGGGATGTTATAAATTAGTGTTCAGGGTTTTTGTTTCTCTATTTTCATTTTGCAAGTTTTTTCAAGATTAATGGCATCAAAAATTACATGAAATCATGCATCTGTATATTTCAAAGTGTAGACTAAAATAGAAAAAGTTACAATTGCATTAAGA